GTTCTAATGGAAAACTATAGTGAAATTATCTGAAAAGTTAGCGCAGAATTGTGAATTTCAGCCAAACTGGCTGTAAATATGGTGAAAAAATTTCAGCGAAAACCTTGAAAAATTAATTTTTAATTGGTAATAACACTCTTGAACATCACATGTACAAATTTTAAACAAAATTGGATCATCAGAAAGCAATTTATTTTCAGTCGCAAGATGACATGCTCAGTGAATTTTTCGGTTTTTCGCAAATTTAGCATGAAAAGAGATTTGTTACACTTTTGTCTTTTATATATTCAGATTCTACAAAAAATTTCACATAAAATGATATCTGTGGCAGTGAGTTAGCGCAGGAAAATGCGAAGCAGTTTTGTCTTAAAATTTCCCGAAATTCGTTGAAAAAATATTTTTCCTAAAAGCGCGCGCGTGGCGGTGTTATAAGAAAACAATGCGCCGGCCGCTCATATGCGCCTTTGGTGTACTGGTTAAGCTGGATGTGTGCTGATCGGGGACATGTGGGTTCGAGTTCTTGAAATATTTTTTTTGGAATTTTTTTTTTGAATTCTACGAGATATTCTGAATGATAGCAGATCCTTTGCGATGCATTGATGGTCATTTCTTTCCTAGATTGTCTTTTTTTAGCCTTTCTCTCAGTGATTCCTCAATTTTCTATTTTTTCCGATTCCGAACTTTTTCCTGGCGAAAATCCGTAAAATTAGGCTAGGTATCACAATTAAAATATTCAAAACCCCTTTTTCCACACTTTTCGAAACGATTTTCTCTGTCTTTAGCCGTCTGAAACCGAAAATTGCGCAAAAAGTGGCTCGAGAAATAATTCGCAATTTTTCCGCGCGGCAGCTTTGCGTCGGCGACGCCCCGCCCACTCGCGGAGAAAACAGAGGAAAATGAAGAGCACAAAATAAGCTGTAACTCGGGAATGAGCGAATATTTTTAGTTAAAAATTTGGAAATATGCTAATTAGGAAGAGGGGATCATATTAAAATGAAAAGATCCCCTGAAAAAACAGTTTGAAAAAAATGTTGTGGTCCCTAGACATAGGATAAGCTAAAAATTGAGAGAACAGTCAAAACCGTCTCCGAGAAAAAAAGTCACATTTTGTGGGGAAAAGAAGGAAGAAGAATGGGAGGCCTACACGAATAGAAAGCATGGTTGGGAAGATTAGTCATCACGCTCTCTCACTTTTTCGTTATATTTTTCCACTCACTGTCTGCTTCTTCATCTGTTTCATGCTATTTATTAATCGCTTATCGATATGAGATATATTGATCAATGAGCAGTTTTTTTTTCGAACAAACAATCAAAAACATCTATGAATGATGAAATCGGGGGTGAAACGAGAGGCGGATGGTAGAGTTAACACGGGACCATCAGAAAAGAGAATATGATTGCATCCTTGTAGAGACAGGGTAATTTGTATTGAGTAGGGAATATCGAATATGTTTTTCTAATGTACCCGCAAACAGTATTATAGAAGGCCAGCCTTCACTTGCACTTTGACCTCAATTATCTTCATTTTCTAAAGAAACATATCAGGAATCTGACAACTGATAAAATATTTGTCATAATATCACCTATATTTCATCAATTCACACTTTTTTGATATCTTATATAGAATTTCAGATTATTGAGCTAAAAGTGCTAGTGTACGGTATCACCAGTGGAAGTATCTTGCGGCACGAGCAATTAATGAGCAAACACATGGGCCAAACGACAGAGGTAAAAATGCTTCTAAAAATTCAAAGAAGGCTTCTATTGGAAGTGGGATTCTTTCAGATGTGGGTGTTTTTCATACTTGAGAATATCTGAAAAAACTGCAAGAGTTGTTAGGGGACACCTTCTTGTATTGAGGTTTTCACGGTAGTCATATCTGGCGTGAATTAAAAAATATATTAATTTTTATGAATGCTCGCAAGGTGGCAATTAGAAACTAGGCAGAATAAGCTAAACAGTGAAAAAACAGTCGAAACGGTCCCAGAGAAAAAAGTCACATTTTGTGGGGAAAAAGAAAGAAGAAGAATGGGAGGCCTACACGAATAGAAAGCATGGTGGGGAAGATTAGTCATCACGCTCTCTCACTTTTTCGTTATATTTTTCCCACTTACTGTCTGCTTCTTCATCTGTTTCATGCTATTTATCAATCGCTTATCGATATGAATTGCATTCATAGACGAGGATCTTTTTTTGAACAAACATTCAAAAACATCTAGAAATGATGAAATAGTGGGGAAATGATAAACGAGAGATACTAACACAGGTTTTCAGAAAAGTGAACATGGTTGCCTACTTGTAAAGTAAGGGTATCTGTGATCGAGCTGGGAAAACCAAATGTATTTGCCACCCGGCACCAGCACTTTGTGCTCAATTATCTCAAGTTCTATAAAAGATATCATATACCTGTCAACTAATAAATTGTTTTTCATAATATCACCTATATTTTATCAGTTTACACAATTCTGATATATTTCATAGAAATGGAGATAATTGAGCTCAAAGAGCACATACGGTACACTTCCATTAGAGTCTTTACGGTATCACCAGTGGAAGTAACTTGCAGCACGGGCAGTTAGAGTAAGCACATAAGCAAAACGTCAAAATTAAACAATCTCAGGAAATTCAAGAAAGGCTTCTATTGGAGGTGGGCTTCCTTCGGATACGATTTTTCATTCTTGACAAAATCTGAAAAAAATGGGACCTTCTCCCAATTTGTAACAATACTTTTAGGATGAAACCGCAACGAGGTGCTTTGACTTTCGGAGGGGACCACAAGGCTGCTCTTTTCATGTTCATATTCCCAAAAGTTCTCAATTTCAAATTTACCAATCTAGTTCTATTTTTGTTTCTTTTGTTCTAATAGAACATCACCCTCTCCTTGCTCTTCGAGCACAATCCTCTCGGTTATTTTCAAAGATATAAGAAGGAGCGATTTTCAAAATTTTCAATTTTCATCCCAAATCACTTCGATTTCCAAAATTTCTGTGAAGTTTCAGTAAAATCACGTGAATTTCCAAAATCCCAGAACTCGAACCGTTCGAGTTCTGTGAAAAATCCCAGAAATTGCAACGTTCAATTTCTGTGAATCACGTAAAATTTCCAAATTCCCAGAAATTTTGGAAATCGAAGTGATTTGGGATGAAAATTGAAAATTTTGAAAATCGCTCCTTCT